TGTGCTGGAAATGCAATTTCCGGGAAAGATAATGCAAGGAGTGAAGGGCTGTGTGGTGGTGGGGGGTGGGGGGGTGGGAGTTGAAGTTGGGGGTGGGAAGGGAGGATGGGTGGGTGGTGTGTACCTTGCGCTTATGTTCAAGTGAAAGAGAGAGAGAGAGCTGGAAAGAGAGAACGAAGACAGAGACGAGGGAAGAGAAAAGTGGAGGGGGGGAGGAGAAGTGCGGGCGTGAAAAAACGTGGGGGGGTGGTGGATGGGTTTTGAGGAGGTGTTCGGGGGTGGATTTACAGATTTTCTTGGATGCTCAGATAAAGGGGAAGAGACAAGAGCGAGAGGAGGAGAAAAGGTGTAGAGGTGGAGGGAATGCAGCATATAAACTGGAGGAGATGCAGGGGCTATCTGCCTGCGTGTGCGAGCGCATCAATAGTTAATGAAGACATTATCTGTGGACACTGCGCCCGTGTAGCTAAACAAACATTATCCTTCAACCCTTCAACATCCTGCATGGTTGGTTAAAGCCACGTATACTAATTAACCCCGCACCACCACTGGATATGAGTCTCAACTTTGCCTGATTGAATCCTCCTGCTTTTCAATGGGTATCTGTAATTGCTAGTCATGTTAGAGGGACGATTTAAGTGTATACATTATGTTCTTGTCGGCACTGCACTCTTTGATGCTGTAGTAATACTTTCAATTTATTTCACACCCTCTGCACATAACACAAAATCAATAACTCACAGTTATGTGTAATTTCATTGAGTCAGCCTGTAGTTCTGCCTGAACAATTATAATTTAACTAAATTAATATTGAGCTGACATCTGGTATCTGTGCATGTGAGAGAAGTGTGCATGTGTATTATTTTTCATGTAAGGAGAAAAGAGAGGAGAAGGCAGAGCGGTGAGGAGCAGAAACATAATAAGTTGCTCTACACCTGCTGGAGCTTACATTCTATACAAATTCAATACCAACGACACACACCCACTCACACACACACACACACACACACACACACACACTCCCCTCCCTTCCACGTCTCTGTCCCATCATGACTCATCCGGCTTGTCTCTGCTCCTCTCCTCCACTTAACCACGATGATGACATGTGCAACTTCCTCAATGGAGCGCCTCAGCTGACTGCGCCTCACCTCCAAACTGTCAGGGGAAACTGATGCCCCCCGAACCCACAGCACCTGCTTTTAAAAACAGGTCCCGTATCCCAGCAGATAGAAGACAACACGGAGCGGGATGGAATTTGAGATTCGAGTGGGAATGCCCCATTGTCTGGATGTTATAGATTTTCTGTGGTGCCTCTTTTCTTGCTTTCCTCCTCACTGCCACCTGCTTGCTCGCTCTGCTGTAAAAACAACTAAATTCGATATAGAAGCTAAATTAAAACATGTTGGGTTTTGTCACGTAATGTGATTCACTAATCATTCTGTTTGGTTCATCCCTTTTTTCTCTTGCCTACAAAAAACAGGCTACTGACATGGACTGGCGTTAACTGTGAAAACCTGTGGATTTGCCCCTTGAAATGATTAGCAATTTTAAATCATAATAGTAATAATAAAGGAACAATGGTTCCTTGATTTTTGCTGGATTTTTAGAAATTTTACAGCTGAACCGTCAACTAAGCTTAGATAACTAAGCTAACATTAGCTACATGAGCTAAAAATGCGGTCTCCAGCTAACTCTATAATTTTACCAGGTGAGTTATCTTAGAAGAAGAATCGTACATATGACATGATACATGGTAAAAGTCTGAGCGTCCAAAGGCATTGTTCAGACTAATATAAAACCAGATCTTTGTTATTTTGTTCTAACATAGCCCTGCCTTACTTTCAAACGGTATATTTTCAGTGTTAATGTTACAGGAGAAAAGGCTTTCAGAATGAAGACTGACCCCATGGGAATAACCCGCTGTGTTTGGCAAACTTCACAATATCTTCGGTAATGACTGGGTTGTGGTTGCTGGAGTGTAAATTTCATGCCAAATCCAATAAAGAGCAGGATAGAGCTGCTAATGTTACACAGTACCCTGGTAGGCTCCAGGACCGGATTCATAGTGAGACTACACAGGCCTTGGCTGTAACACTTGGTTAAAACTGGACAGTAAGCTAGTTCGCTGTTCAACTCTTGTGTTTTTAGTTTTGGAAAGATAAATAAGATAAGACTAGCGAATGGTAACTTTAAAAATAAATTACAAAAACTTCAATGAGACTGATTAGGAATGCAAATGATTATCTTCTAACTTGATGTCATCTCCAGGGGTTAAAAAAAAAAAAAGGTTTTGAGATATTGAGGTCATAGGTCCAAATTCTCCCGGTGCAACTTGCCTACACCCAAAAAATCTTCATCACATTTAATCTATTTAACTGTTAAATAATTTTTTTCTTGATCTTTATATATCTATATTTTCTTTATTTTTCCCCTTTAAAACAATCAAATTAAAAGGTATTGACTCCATATATCTACGTATCATTCTCTTTCAATGGTTCTTCATCTTCGTGATCCTCTTCTAACATGCTGCCTAATACACTTTTCATGGTAAAGCCCTTTACAAAGACTGTAATATTGGATAGTTTCATTTGCACAATGTGACAAAATGTGATTACTCTCCAAGAAACACCACTTATTTCTTATTCTCTGGTCCCTTTTTCTCTGTGGCTCCTTCTCCTTACATGCACCTTCATCCGCAGTCTATAAACCACTCAGCACTGTATTACCATTCAAATATTTGGTCACAATGTTCACGTTTACCATGAAAGCCAAATGAGCATGCTGGTTTTGCAAATAAAATCACCTAAAATGACCAGAAAAACTCCTGTGATTGGAATGCGGAGAAGAACACAGTCAAATTAAAATTCCCAGCAAACTAACTAAGGGAGTTGTGCTGCCCACACTAATGAGGCCTGTATGGGCAGAAAAAGAGGCAGAAAGACGCTGCAGGTGGGATTTCACCAAGGAAACAGCGTCATCCTTTGAACCTCTCTGACTGGGATGTTTGCTGGTCGTTTAAATTCAGTAAAGCAGAGGTTTTTTTTAGGAATTGCAGGTGCATCTCTCTAAAGTCTGGAGAATTGAGCTGGCTGTAATTAGTGTCAGCTGTACTGTAAGGTTTCTTTGATCAGCTTTTCAGTGTAATTCACGGATCTGTGTTTTATGGGTGCAAATTCCTAAAATGACTCAAAAAGGCACTCACTGTGGAAAGAGCATGCAGAGTGAAGGGGTTTAGAGACACTGACGTACAAGTAATTCTTTCCATTATCTGTGACATGAAGAAAATGGATCTCATTATATCTCATCGGTGTACACAGGTGTAGATCCTCTCATTAACAACTGTGATTGTTCCTTTCATTTCATGACACAGCTTGAGAAATATCCTCATGTAAGATGTCTGAAAAGATGAAGGCTGGGTTAGAACCGTCTCTCTGTAGCCCCTTCAGAACATATATAAGTACATGATGTACATTGCCATCTTGTGGATTTAACTTGCAAATGCATAACCTCCTGAGAGTGACAGGAGTCATATTCCTAACACGAACAGTATGTTAGAGTCAACAGACAGAAAGTCAGAGTCAATGTTGGTTTTATCTTTAAATTCAAATTGTGATTCAGTTTTTTTCTTTGACCTGCATTAGTTACAACTTCCCTATAATCCACATGGCAGAGTTGAAAGGTGGAAAATTCTTGTGATCTAAAAATGAATATGCTGAAATATATTCTCCCTTTATATTCTTGCATGATGCATCATTATCAAGATTCAGATCCATCTAAGGTGTGTGGTGGGTACGAACACATTAGACCACATGGTGGCAGTACTGGGCCTATCACAGCACAGAGCACAGGTCTCCTTTACATTAAGACGTATGATACTTCTATAAAATAAAACACATAAAGATTAAACCAGTGCTTCCAGCCTTTTTGGCTCGTGACCCCTAAAAATCAGTGTCTAGCTGGGGGTCCATGGTCATGTTTCAGTTGTCTGTGAGTGGTTAGCAGTTCCACCAAAGAGCCATTTCTCCTCCAAACAAATTGTTTCATTTAATAAGTACCCGCAGATTTATCTAATGATCGTTATGGGGGGGCCTGACCCCTATACCACTGGACTAAACTACCAAAACCTAGGCCCACCTACCACCAACAACACCAACATGCTGGTGTATTAGTATTAATAATGTCACACAATAATATCGGCCATTTAAATGTAGGACTCGAGTATTTTTACATTGTTGTATTAGAGTAAAGAATCAGAGTATTTCTTCCGCTGGGATCAGATTTCAACGATGTCGAAGGCAAATAAATAATAATGACTTAAAAAAACAAGAGGAACACTTACTAGCTTTATTTGGAACCACATCTGACGGTCTTCATCGATGGATAGCTCAGTTGTCATGGTGATGGATGCGCTGTCATCACATGACCTAAAAGTGGATTGTTAGTCACATGATAAGAGGTGCTCATGGGAGTGCAAGATGGTAGCATATGTCTCTGTTCTAGGAAGGTCTTTGGATGTGAATGACCTCTTTGATGTTGATGTCAAAATCCATCAGGGGATGAAGACTGAGGGGCGGTTGAAAGGTCTGGAAAAAGATAGTGATTGAACCTTGTGTTTAGTAGTTAGTACGTAAAGAAGAGGGAAGACAGATTGTTACAGAGGTCAAACTCAATGCAGCAGAGGCCGACATGTCTCCACTTTTAGTCCCTATTATTGTGCAGAAGTATTACTTCAAAGCTCCAGAATTCTCAATAAATAAATAAGTACTATTAACAAGTACTCAGATGTTTCACCTGCTTCATCGCTCTGGTTGGACAAAAAAACTCAGTGATCAGTGGTTGTAAAATCTCACACAAACCCCCACACACACTCTTTACACCTGTGTGCACATACACAAGATGAACACACCAGCTCACAGAAACACCAGCGAACACACACTCACAAAGATCACACTGAATCACCGTGTGAATACTGTAACAAAACAAACACTGACACAGACAGCTTTTCTTATTGCAATATCCATTTATTGTTCTCATCACACAAATCTTTACAAAACAGAGGGTTTGCTGCAACAGGATCAAAGGAAATGTGTTTCTCCCACAGAGTTGCAGATCTGAAGGAGACCGGTGCTTTTTATTCACATGTCAGTCAACTGCTGCGTGTTTGTTCTTTAACTACAGTAACTACAGACTTTACAGGAAAAGTAAAGCTGTAGTGTTGACGGTTGAACCAGAGGAGAACATATTCTGACCTGAAGGGAATCTGGCTGCTGAAGGGTGTTTTTCTTTAGGTGTTTATTCATTTGTACTAAAGCAGTGCTCACACAGTGAACACTGATTCAGAAACTGACTGCATGGGTGAAGAGTTACTGAGATTTTGCACAAATGAGAAGCTTGTACTTAGAATTATAGGTTGTCACTGAAAGTACTTAATGTGTTTTTTGTTGTTACATTTTTCCATTAAGATTATTTTAAGGCATTTATGCTTCATCGGGTCAATAAAGACTGGGAAGCAATGAGGAAAAATCTGAAACACAGGGATATCATGCAGCAAAGGTCATGAGTTCACAACGTTGCAGGTTCGTGGTATATGTGCTCTCTGCACCACCAGAATGTCACAGTTTTCATGATTTTTCTTTTCAATCAAAGTACAAGATGCTCAAAAGATCTCTGTGCCATCTTTCTAATAATAATAATAATAATAATAATAATAATAATAATATGTAAGGGTAATTAAGCACATACCTTTAATGGCTATACTGCAAAGTTATATATAAAAAAACAACTTCCTGGTGTGATTCATGTTACTTTAGCTCATGCGCACAGAGGAAATACTAAAAGTGAATACAGTTTTCTCTCTTTTTTGTTGTCAGATCGACAGACACGTTTGTGGTCTTATGTTATCTCACACAGCCAAATGTAAAAGTCAATTAAGCTAAATACAACAGGGATATTAAGCAGCAGTAAGTGATTTTTAATCAACTGAATAAGCTATAAACAGACATATTATCATCTTGGCTAACATGTTAGCAAATAGTTGTCTGTTTTGACTATCTAGATTTTACCACACAAGTTTAAGATCAAAATTCTTAAAGTTGCACTAATCAATATATTATTATATAATTTATTTAATAATTTTTTTAAACAATGGATCAAATAACCGTATCTAATGTGATAGGGTTAAGCGTTGAACATAGTGAGAGTTTTAGCATCTTTGAGCTCGTTGTTTTGATTTAACTCCACTGTTAGGTGCAAATGTAGCAGAACATACACTCTACAACGTAGTAGAGTGTTACATACACACTACTACTACGTTGTAGTGTGTATGTAACACTCTCAACCTTTGTTTGTAGCAGCAGGCAGCTGTGATAAACCTACTGTATGCTAGCTGCCCAGCACTAAACTGCAGACACAGTTAGCTAACTTAATAGCTGGTGGACACAGGAGAGCATTTAGCGACAGATATATTTTCCACAGGAGTTTACATTCATCAGGTGGCCAGAAACAAGAATCCAGATAAATGCTAATGTTGCTCTGTGTCTACTGTGTAATGTGTAAATAAGCACCTGTAGGCTAACAAGTTAGTCAACATTATAAAGTGATTATGTAAATGTTGTGTTCACAGCTAGGTATTCCCAAGTCACCAACAAATAAAAAAAAGGATAAATTGCTGCTTTAACATTGTATTTTTGTTAGCTTGCCCTATGCTAGCTTCCTTGACTTTTACATATGGCTGTGTGAGCTAACGTAAGACCATGGACGTGTCTGAAGATTCGACAACAAAAGAGGGAAAAACTCTACGATTTATGCTCGTGTGAGAACTCAAAACAGAAAGGGCTTCACTTCCATAACTCAATGAACACACAGTATGATAAACTATAAGTAAACAACTCTCCCAGTCTAACCTTGGTCCAGTGGGCATGTAGTTTGATTCAAAGAGTGAGCCATCTGGCTGTTTTCCAGCTGATCCAGTGTAGGTTCAGAGTGGTTAAGCACCTTCATACACACTGTTCTCTATCATCATAATAAATACAACATTTTCCCCAATCTCTACACTGAGTGTTGTGATGCTCGTGTAAAAATCACACTCTCAATACAAAAAAGAGTTATGTACAGTATCATACAAATAGGTTTCAGTGTTAGAAAGTGGAACAAGGGGAAGGGACGTACAGTAATAACTAGGCTAGGGAATATAAGTGTGATTGTGCGTGTGTGCTTTTGAATATGTTCAATATATGTGTGCTCTGTAAAACAGGTCTTTATTCTTGTGTGTGTGTGTGTGTGTGTGTGTGTGTGTGTCGTCCAGCAGAGGGAAACATTTCACAGCACAGTGATGGTATTATAGTCAAGATATCACAGAGAGGAGAGCTAAACAGAGGTTGTAAATAAAGAGTGTTGGGAGAGGAAGAGGAGGGAGAATAAAAAAACATGGATTCGAGGGAGTGTGCAAATCAAAATCAGCAAAACTGTCACGCCACACGGAGTGCTTATGGCAACCACACAGTATATACATGTCAATAAATAAATCTGTTAATAAAATATCAGAAATTAATCACAATAATTACATGACTCTGTAGCAAATCTTTTAAAGATTTGGCAAGAAAGAAATTCCAGTTCAGGGAGAGCAATGCCATTCATGAGTGAAATAAAAAAAAAAAAGAAAAACTACAAAAAAAAAAAAAACAGTCTGTTGGCATCACAGAAAGTGTTTTGTATGAAGGCTCCTCATCTCGAAAGAATACAAAATACAAATATTTGCTCCTGAATGCGATGCACTTTATTTGGCTCACTGTTGTGCCACCTGCAGCCGAGAGCTTGGCTTTGTCTTATCAAATGTGTTTGTATTTCACATGGTTTTTTGGCGAAGCTGCAACCATCTGAGAGATAAAAAAAAAATACAAAAAAAACATGAAGAAGAAAGCCAAATGAAGATGTCGGTACTTTCATCCTGTTTGCTTTTGTCTGGTGCTTCTGCTGAGAGATACGAAATGGATTCTTTGATCTGAGTAAACCTCATGCCGTGCTGAGTAGGGCACTGCTACTCAGACTACAGGTGTGTGTGTGTGTGTGTGTGTGTGTGAGGGTGCGTGAATTGGATGAGTTAAGGACAGAGGGTGAGAGAAAGACACCAAGGGAGAAAGTAGAAAGAGAGAGGGTGAGAGAGAGAGAGGTGTGTGTGTGTGTGTGTGTGTGTATGGCTTGCTATGGGTTTTTATGGGTAAATCTCAGCAGCACACATATCCTTCAGCCTGTTTCTTTGGTCCAACATGGCAACCTCTTGACTGCAGACATTAAAGCTGCATCCTGGGAGTCACACAGGGAGTCCACCGTCACATTTAGCTTTCAGCACGTGCCTCCTTTAAGCGGGTGAAAAGTCATTCATACCAAACAAAAAAAAACATTCTCAGGGGTCACAGTTTGATGTGTTCTTCCTCACAGAGCACACCACTGAAGATGAAAGTGAGCTTCACATGAGTTTATAGAAGAAAAAAAGTTAAAAACAAAAGTCTTTAACTATAATATTCAAAATGAAAAAGAAGAGCTGTACCTGACTCTGCACTGAATGTTCAGCTCTTAACTTTACTGGGAGTCCAGCAAAGAGAAAGTCTTTGAAGAGTTTGCCTATCGGTTCCCCGGGGGTTGAGAGGGCAACAGGGTAGGGTGTGTGTATGTGTGTGTGTGTGTATTAGGGGGAGGTCTAGACCTGTGTGGAGTAGGAGCGGTGCAGCGTTGCGTACCGCCCAGCCGGATGGGCGGCGCAGTGCGGCGAGTGCTGCTCCGACTGGTCTAGACTTCGCTGGAAATGGAGCGAGACGGTATGAGGACATCGGGGGTGGCGGGGAACCGATAGGGCTGATGGTCATGTGATCTCGGTGAACGGAGATTCCCGCGGAGTCTGCAGGGGAAAGAGAGGAGTGAGAAAGAGAGAGGAAGGGGCAGAGAGGAGGCGAAGGAGAGAGAAAAGTGAAGAAAAGAATAATCAAGAGCAATGCACGGGATGAGGGGAGGGAAAGAGGAGAAGACAGATGCATAGAGCCGAAACAGAAATAAGGCAACAGATGACGGGGGGGAGAGTGAGGAGTGACAATGACAGGCAAAAAAGATTTAAAGTTGGTTAGAATGGTTGGACGTAGGTGTTGTAAGGTGGGGAGGAGGAGCAGAGTGCAGGATGCTGGAGGAGAGTGAGGGACAAGGGAGCAGATTGAGAGGAGAGAGGCAAGGTGGGAGACAGAGGAAAAGAGGCAGTCAGGTGAGGGTTAGTGACGGTGACAGACCACAGAGGATGCAAGACATTCTCCTAAACACTCGGACGTGGACTGGTGTTACACTACTGCCCCCCCCCACTGAGAGAATACCTTTAGAGAAGGCAGCACTGCTGAAGAGAAGATAAAAACTTGAGAGGGCCTCTGCAATCGCAACGACTTTTTACTATTATTTTCTTTTGGCCTCAGCTGAATTCATAGTTTTCCTCCAGCCAACTGCTTTGCATTATATCCAAATGGTAAATTACGCCTCGAGTATGTCAGCGAAACTGCTGACTCACCTCAAAGAGATAAGTGACTCTCTAAATCCCCGATAACAAGGAAGTGTGTAACATTGTAGAGTTTAGGAATACGGGGACACAGATGAGTTCGTTCAATCCTCTCAGCTGTGTTCGTATCAGCCGACAACAAGGCTTAGAGATTTAAAGTATTCACTTGGGCGTTGTTGTTGGGACTGGGGGTGCAGGTGGGGCTCGGAGCATGCATGTTTGGGGGACTTGTTCTCTTTGGGAAAAAAAGGAGGACAACGGATTCAGGTAAGAGACAAGGGGTGTGTATCTCAGCCCCTCTTTTTGTGAGCGCAGCCGTGCCTCACACCCGCCCCCGCCCCTTACCTGAGGGCCACTTAACTTTTCGAGTGGACTCTCCACACAGGGCAGCGTCACCATCGGCATGCCCAGCACGGACTCGGGGCGATGGGGTCGTGGTGGAGGAGGACTGGGCTGCATCTGCTGGAAATTGTTAATCACACAAGTCACCTGGAGACGGGGATAAAAACAAAAACAAAGGTATGAGGAGAGTTGACCCTTTGCCAAACCCCGCCCCTCACTGTGATTATCCAATCGTAGCTCAGCACAGCATGCATTGCCCATGTCAAATGTATTATAGGGCTTATACTGACAAACTGGTATCTCAAGAGTTTGGAAGGTGGTGTATTTTATTTTATTTTTTTAAACAAAAGAGCTATTCTTTACAAAATATGTAAGGAATAGATTTAACAAGGAAAAGTCTAGTACGACATTATTACAGTAGTAACCTCATTATTTCCAAAGCCAAGGGACATGTTAGCTGAGTACATTATTTTGTGGAGTTAGTTACATAAGAAAAAGACCTATTGAGGACTGGAACATACACCCTGTGGGAGCCAATATGCTAATATGAGGGTTTAGAGTGTAGATAGGGGCTAGGTCCTACTTTTTATTTGGTTTAGGGGAATATTAAACTCCAGAAAGTCATTTAAATTTTATTCATAAAGCTGTACTATAATACTAGGACTAACTAATTATACCCTGCAATAACAAACAAGCAAACAAGCCTCAGTCTTTTGGCACTATATCATCATCAAGTGCCTTTTTAGGACCCTTTTACAGGTTTTTAAATGACTCCGCTTGACACATTTAAAAAGTGAGCTGGAGATGGAGTTTTCAACCAACTCACATACTAGTATTTTAGCATTAGCATTAGCATTAGTAGCTTTCCCTAGCTAGCTACAACGGATAAAAACTCCTATTGACAGGCAACATTTCAGCCGACTAATTCCCCAATTGTCTGCTAGTATTGATAATCCTACAATATACAACTCCTACAGAGTTTCCTTCTCACCAGAAACACAGCGATGGCTCCCCCAGTGAAGAAACCCGCCAAGACGTCAGCCCAGTGGTTGCGGTACTCAGCCACCCTGACCACGCCTACTAGCATGGCCAGACAGAGCAGGCTGAGGCTGATGGTGGGCTTGGTCAGCCGCGTGCCTTTGGTCTTGAACACCAGCGTCACGTACATCTGCAGAGGAGCACACAAGAGGGCACGCACAGTAACATGCAACGGACACAGGAAGCAATACAAGACACACAAGCATATTATGCATCATTACAACCCAAGTTAATAGTTAACGTCTTGGTACAGTGTCTCTTTTGGGCTAAGTTGCAATTTGCTTCACATTCAGTCTGATATTCCTTATGATTCAATAGTTCCTGTGCAATGAGAATGTTCCCACCAGCCACTAGCCACCTAATTTACATTGAGTGGGGTGAGTGAGTTGGATGAGATGCTTGATACGAATCTTTGCGCTAACCTAAGACTGTGGCTTCATATTTATGGTATCAGCATGAGAGTGGTATCAATCTGCTTATCTAACACTCAACATGCTTTGAGCTCTTTTCTCAGCAAGAAAAGTTGAGTACTAAACTAAGTGAAAGCAAAAGGGTGAAAATATTAGTAAAGATGAGTCCTCTTTAATTGAGTAAGCAAGGTTTCAATTGGTGGCAAGTATTTATCATCTCGAGCATGCTCCAACCTACCACTGTGTACACTGCGGAGTAGACGCTGAGCGCCGCGTCCTTGGACGGGAAGGATTTCCGTGCAGACATGACAACCAACGGGTTGCCTGTACAGGCACGGCGCTCTGCGATGTACTGCATGGTGGACTGGCAGCCTAACGCTGTGTAGTTTGGTCGGCAGGCAGACAGGAAGTGAGGCGTCTGGTTTCCTGTCACTACCTGGCCGGCGTTGGCGAAGATGGTGGTGGTGAACAGGCCGAAGGCATAGACGCCTAGGTAGGAGACGAGTATGAGGGAAGGTTGGGAGGAGGGTTTGGGGGGAGGAGGGGGGATAAAGAAGTGGTATTAAGTATTAAGAGAGGACAAAAAGTTTAAAGATATATCAGAAGATGAAGAAAAGTATATTAAATGTTTGACAGAGAGCGCTATCCAAAATGTGTAACAGCACTATGAGATAAAACGGGTGATAATACGTTTATACTCCCTAAAATAGCCCCAACACATTATTATCAGCTGAGGTGTGAAATTGCAACAGAAGCCTCCACCTCAGCTGATTCAGCTCAAGATGCAAATTTGTAGACTACTTAATATTCACAAGTGCCACGATCCTGAATATCTTACTGCAAAGATTATATCACAGTTTATCATCCAATTAACAGCTACATGTACACGTTCTGGTTGACAAACTCTGAAGTGTAGTAGGTCACATTCTTACAAGTCAATCTTTTCTTTCATTTTATTTTAATCTTTGTTATTCGGCCTCTCACACTCCCTGTGAAAACTACACACCTAGCACCCAGATACAAAAATGCCCTTTCACAGGTCTGAAAAGAGCAGAGGGGCTGTGTAATACAAAACAGCAGGTTCACCTAGGAAGCGTATTATGCGTCTCAGGAGGGGGTTGAAGTAGCAGCAGTCTGCAGTGACGATGGTCTTCTCCTGTGTTCCCTCTGCCTTGGTGAAGAAGGCACACAGCTCTCCAACAAGAATCTGTGCACACAAAGAAAACACAAAAATGGTGGTTGAAAATGTTGAGTGTTGACATGCTGATAGACATTTTTGACACATCTGAATTCATCATGTTGTATTATCAACCGTTTTGGGGTTATGCCCCCCACAGCACTGTAACTACACTCAACCCACACCCTTACACACATAGGTCAAAGGTCCGGATCAGCCACAACACAGCAACCTGTGAAACTTTCATTAAAGACACTTCAACACAAACTTCAGCTGCAGCGACAGGACGGTAGAGGAGTTGAAGTGTGTCAAAGTTCCCAACTGCTTTTGCCCTACCTTCACAGGAATGTTTTCAACCTAAAAATACAACCATTTTTGTATTTTTAGCCATGCTAGCAGCGTGGCTCTAGAGATGGAAAAAGTCTGTCTTTTGGTTCACCACTTTGGCCCAGATATCTCTAAAACTACTGGATGGATTGGACAATTTTTTTCTCAATCAGTGAATCTACTAATTGTTGCAGCTCTAATTATGTGAATGAAGCATATCCCCCTAGTTCCCACTGCTCTGTGCAGGTGCCTCAATCAGCCAGTGAGAGCTTTCTAGTGCATCAATCCCCCACTGGCTTCACACCTGCAAATGCTGCTAATTGTTTGTTGTAGATCACTACCAGAAAATGAACCAGGGTCTCTGCAAAAGTACTCAGGTTTTTTGCTCATTATTAACATTTATTGAAAAAGGAAAAGATGTGTCTGAATGAATAATAACAGCACAGACAGGAATAAATAGCAGTGACTGAGGCAGATGTAGAACCAATAGCAAGTATTCTCCAGAGGTAGCTCACATTATGGAGGAAGACAATACACTTAGGACTTTCTCTTGTCTTAAACAACTTCTAACATAATGCAGTTCTACATCATTTGACCACAATGATGAGTGAACCTGTGCTGCACAGAGTTCTTAGCATTACTAATGATCTCAGAGCTCACAGTGCAAATGGATCTAATTAGACTCCTCAATCATCATCTGTTTTATTAAGCGTGGACTCCCTGGCTGTGGTCGGATAGAGATGTAAACTAACTACAGTCTAGAAATGCCTGTGATCAAAAATAGCAGCCATTGTTGCAGGGTGCTTGTGGTGTTATTGCTCTCTTTGTGAGGAGCATCAGGCTTGTGGCAGAGGTTTTGGTCAGGTGACTGTGTTCAATTCACTCCCTGTGAATCTGAACAGCAGTGCCTCTCCAGACTGATGACAGACCTTAATGGACTGCAACTGTGAGACTCCTCTGTATAAGAGCCTACAGCACTCATACAGACGCTGGCACATGCAGACTAAAACTTAGCCCCCTCGATGAATTACTATGACAGAGATATGCTTAATCTTAAATCATCCTGACAGTTTCCATGCTCTGCTGTGACAGTACCAGGACCCACTTTAACGCTGACCGTGTTCCACAAACCCATCAACCTCATCTTTCCTCTTTCAATATTTGACATAATCCCCCATTTATCCCCCTCAGTGACAATGCCTGAAGAACTGCTGTCTGAGCAGAGAAAGCAGGAGGAAATGAAGGAAATACAGACATTGTCAGAGAGAGAAAAGGAGAAAGAAAGACAGCACAGGAGGGAGACAAAGAGAGATAAAAATTATCGTGTTTCTGTCAAATCTCATGCTTCTGGCCATATTTCCAAGCGGGTCCAGCCAAATCAAATGAGTTAATAGCATGCAGGGGCCCAGTCAGTGCAGCAGTGCTGTGAAGTGCGTGCCCGGCCCAGTGCTTTCTTCCATTAGTGAAACACAACCCTACCGGGTGTTCCATGGCAACCCTATAAACACTAATGCGAGCATGAAATCAAAGCGGAGGGGGTTTAATCAGTAGCTTCAAATCAGAGATGTTAGGGGCACCGTCACACTGTGGACAACCATTTATGGGGCAATTAAAAAACAGCATGGTGGCTGTTTCCATGGGGACTGCCGGACTGTGGAAGGTTTCAGCATGTGTATACCACAAAATGTGAGATAATGGTAGTGTGCTGTCGCTCATGGACAAGTGCTCTTGAACACTTTGCCTCAGGCAAAGTTGTCAAGCAGTGGGTGGTTGGCCTTTTTGGAAGAATAGTACTACTACACCCTTTTTGTCCAAAACTGTTGTGCTATAATTCTGTGATAGGCCTTTTAAGACAGAAATCCCACACAGATTTCAAATTTAAATAAACACACCCAACTTATCTGGTTTCACTTTGATTTACTCTCTCCTAACAGTGTCCTTGAGGTTTTTATTGTTAAAAATTAAAATTTAGCTCAGTTAACTTAAAAGTTGTACCTTTGAGTTGGCCCAACTGAAAATGTTCACTTAATTTACTCAGAGAACAAAGAGAATCTGTGAACTAGAACTAGGCTCACTGTTTCCCCTTGTTTCCAGTCTTTGTGCAAAACTAAGCTGCTGGCTATAGCTTCATATTTAACTTGTGGTAGTACATGCTATTATTCCAATAAGCTGTTCCTAAACAACTTAATTTGATGTGTTAAGTGAAAGATCATTCAATCAATTCATCAATCCAAGTGAGAAGACTGAACTAATTACTATGAGTTGCAAATGATGATGATGATTAGATAATTTAATTACACTGTATTTGAAACTGACAAATGTATCCAGTCACACTGATTTAAAGATAAAAGTAAGTTGATTTAGTATAACTTTTACAGTATAAAAGAGTCTTGTATAAAGTAAACATGGTGTGAATTCTAAAAGTTGGTTTTCACATGTTTCACTACTACAGAAGTTAATTGAACTGTGTCACTTTGTATTTTATCACAGCTAAAGATTAGAATTAGAATTAGAATTCAACTAGGATTTTCACTTAAAAGGCGAATAATCTCCTGACAATTTGTAATTCTTATTTTTCTCAAAAATATACAGTTTTTGCTGCGTACCATAACCCTTTTATTGTTAAAGCAACAACCACACCCACTCAACCCATCACTACTGAAACCAAACCTATGCCCTTCAAGATAAGAGCAGGACGGTCTGTGAAAGATTAAGTGGAAGAGAGTGTGACAATACAATAGGAAAGTTGAAGCGTAAAGCAAGAAGAGAGGAACAGTATGGGGAAGGTAGAACGGGGATGGGGTTAGAGGTAATGCTGCAGGAATGAATTATTCATGCGTGGATGGCACCATGTGAATCATGTAGCGCATTATTTCAACCAACATTTCTAAATGATCTCTCTCCACTGCAGTGGGACGCGCTCCAGCTCCCTGCCTCTGCCCCGACTGCTTCAAGGATTCACAGTTAAATATGACGAGGTTGTCACTGCAGTTTAGGGACGAGCGGATAATAATTCCTTGAAATTAAACTGCTCACCCAGTCTACACTCTGACAATGCAGAAGTGCTGCGATGCGTCCAGAAACGTTCCAGGACACATGATGATTTCTAGAAATAACAGGATGAGATTCAAGTTTGGAGAAAACTGAGCATGGACGGGGACCTATATTACATACAAACTCACATGCATGATTTAGTTGCAGAACAAGGAAAAGGAGTGAAGGAATGAAACATTAATACATACATGAGACATTATTAACTCTGTGTGCATGCACAAATTACATCAGAACTCATTTCTGTCTGCAGAAGGAAGCTGGAGGATCCTGCTCTGTGTGTGTAAGTAATCAGATCTCGATTTGTGTCAGTGGGTATTAGTCAAATGTGAGAGTGCATTCAGAGTGGGGCTTTTTATGAATACGTGCCTATTAGAAGACAATAAGCGGGGATGTTTTACTTAGAGCGCTGAGATGAATGAAGAGGATTGTTGAAATGGTGGAGGAGCAGTGGGAGTAGAGGAATGAAGCAAGCAAGGAGAGATAAAGAGGAGCCAATACAAGATTTAAATGAATACACTTTATATAACTATTTTACATATTATTGTGTAAATAAACAATTATTCAGTAGATTTGCATGTTCAGAAGCCGGAGAAACAAATGTCAGGATATGTGCTCATTCTCAAAGTGAAGATTATGATCTGAATAAGCTCTTTTAAAGTTACTGGTGAATCTGTAAGATCTAATTACTGTGTAAAACTAGCTGTACTTGTGTGTTTCCTGTATTTTAAAGACTGTCTGAAGCCGCAAGTTAGTCTAAAGAAAGGAGAGGATGCAGGAGACAATCAGCCTGTCGTGCTATCATTGTGTGGTAATGATGTCAATAAAGCTGCAAGGACGAATTGAGCAACTTGGAATAAGTCTGAGTGATGGCACTGCAGCAGAGCAGTGAGATGCAGATTGCTTCCATTACTATTCTCTTCTGCAAATAGCAACTAACTCTGTTCAGTCCGTGTTAGTGACAAAATAAGGGGGGGGGGGGACACACAAAACAAACAGAAGATGGAAATATATGCTTGACTTTGAGTCATTACATAAAATGGACCAACGCTGCAAGAAGCACTAAGACTGGGTTATTATATAAATCATAATCCTAAAGAGTACCAAGCGGCACTGCCGTGGCTGGCAAGTAAATCCAACATGGAAGTAACAAAAACTGCAGTTCCTCGAACGGCCACTTGACGCTGGTTTCAGAGGTGACCAATCTCCATAAGACTCAAAATTAAAAAACAATTTGGTACAAAAAACGGTTTTGGTCTGTAAAGTTAATTTTCTCATTCATGAAGACTGTATAGGGCGTTTAAGGTTCCTGCTATGTATAATTAGGGCATGGCCACTTTGAGTCACAGGTGTCTTTGCCCAATTTTAGATTACTAATCACTAATCAACATTGCCACCAGGCAACCAGTGGAAATGAAAAAAAGGTTGATTAGCGGGCTTTATAGGTGCTGGTAGGCAGATTTTGTTACCTTTGAACAGAGTCGAGCTAGCTGTCTTTATGCTATGCTAAGCCAACTGACTGCTCACAGTAGCTTTACATTTACCACACAGACATGAGAGTGATGTCGATCTTCTCATCTTACTCTCTGCAAGAAAGCAAATAAATGCATTTCCCAAAATGTTGAACTATTACTTTGTTAATATTAACAATA